TCCAGGGTCCATTGGAGGTGGTGCTTTCCTTCCTGGGTCAGAATAAATCTACCAAATCCCAGTGATGAACTACACTGCATGGTTATGGTCTCTCCTAAGGTCACAGCAGAACTGGGCCAGACAGACAGGCTTGGTTTATCATAGGCTCCTAGGATACAAGGGGAAGTGAAACGATTTTAAGCTTCCCACATTGTACTGCAGGGTTGGGCTCTGAGAAAAGTACCCTGGAGAGCTGACCTCCTTCTGAGTGGAGAGCCTGTGCTGGGAACCCTGAATTTTCACTCACCTGTTAGCACCAGTTCCAGGGTGTCACTGTGCTCTGACCAGCCAGCAGGGCTCTTATAGTAACACTTATATATCCCTGCAAAGTAAGCTGTCATGTGTTGGATGTAGAACTTAGCCTTGTCCAAGCTTTCCAGAGGGTATTGTCTGTCCCAAGGATCCATGTTTCCCTCTTTAAACAAATGGTACTCCTTGGCCTCCCAGGACCCCTGACACCAAATAGTAACAGGTGCATTTGAGGCAATCATAGAGTGTGGCTCAGCCCAGATTTTGGGCTTTGTGAGGTTTCCTGCAAGGAAATCAAAGGTTGAGTCCTGGTACAATTCTCCCTCAGACACCAAGTCTTAGTAGGGCACTAATGGGCATCACAACATTATCCATAAACTTTACAGATTGCACATTGTGAAGAGATGACCAAGAGGAGAGCAAAATGATGTCTTGTATCCAGAGTGAAGGATAAAATCTTGGGATGGATGGAAACACTCACCTGCCAGGACTGCAGTCTTCTGTCCCACACTCAGTCCTGAAAGAAAATTCACTCTGAGAGATTTTTTCAGTCTGAGAGACAGGGTCAATATCATGGAGTTTCCAGATTCAATAAGACCTGTGTTGGAATAGGGTTTCTTACAGACTTGAGTGTCAACTCTCCCTCTTCATATCTTACCAAGACACAACAGCATTCTGAGCATGGGGACCATGATGAGTCGTTGTATTTTTCTTGCTTGTGCTCCTGGAGAAGCCTAAACATATTCTGCAGAAACATCAGACAGGCTGTTTTCAGCCTGGAGGCAGGTCCTTCCTGTCATGGGTTTGCCACATCAGTACTATCACCAGCTCACCACAAGAGGAACTTCTCTTTGTTCCTCAGTGCAGGACTTTTGCCAAGTA